CCGGGCCAGGGCAGGGAAGCCACGGAGGGCAAGGCCCAGGCGACACCTGTTCTCTCATGAGGGCCGGCCAGGCTCCTGGAGTTAACGGGGAGCCCGGGGCCGCCCCAGGGAAAGGCAGGACGGTTTCTGCAGAGCAGAGCAGTGCATGAGCGAGTGAGGAGTGCAGGGCCCAGCCCCCACCTGCCCCGCCCCCGGCTTATAGGCCGTCCTTCCCGATGGGAGTGGGCACGGGCATCCGCGTGCGGAGTGTGTCACCTCCCCGGTGTGCGCTGTGTGTGGGAAGCAAGGTGAGCGTGTGGAGAGCATTAGGAGCCCGGCCCGCGTGGCTCCGTGGCTGAGCGTCAACCTCTGAACCAGGAGGTCACGGTCCGATTCCCTGTCAGGGCACAGGCCCGGGTTGCGGGCTCCATTCCCAGTGAGGGGCGTGCAGGAGGCAGCTGGTCAGTGATTCTCTCTCATCATGGATGTCTCTCTCTCTCCCTCTCCCTTCCTTTCTCTCTAAAAATCCATAAAAGTAAACCGTTTTTACAAAGAGCGGTAGGAGACAGTGTGAGGCCAGGGGATGAGGAAGCTGAAGGGGCTGCTCCTGGCGGGCTCAGAGCAGGAGGGCCGGGCCAGGACCGGAAGGGGAGCGCCGCCCTGCAGAGGCAGTGGGCCCGAGGAGGGAGCGCCGGGGGCACCTGGCAGAGCTGGGGGAGGCACCTCAGACGGAAGGAAGGAAGCACCAAGTCCAAGCCCCTCTCTGGCCCGGCCGAGCCTCGAGTTCCTCATTTAAAGTGGTGGTGGCAGCTGAGCCTGCTTATCTCCTCAGCAGACACGTCCCCAGCACCGCGCAGGGTGGGTGAAGGGAGCAGCAAGCTGGGCTGCGGACAGAGTAGCACAGACAGAGGGACAGGGCAGGGCAGGGCAGAGAAGGTGGCAGCTTAGGCAGACGGAACAGGTGGAATGATGGCTTATGAAGAGGGTAGTGGAGCCCAGAGCAGCCTCACCGAGAGAGGGGAGGGGAGCAGGGCATGTGGACACCTGGACGGAAGAGGGACGCATTGATTTTAACAAAACGATCCAGGGCCTAACCGTGAGCAAGGACCCTGGGCTCCCAAGGCTGTGGCGACCCCCTGCCCGGAGGTGCCTGTCCCCTCAGAGAGGAGGGGCTGGGGCGGCCCCGCCCCCGAGTGCCAGGGCTGGAGCAGAGATAGGGAGGCTCAGAAGCAGGGCACCCACCCAGCTGCGCCCTGAGGGAGACACGCAGACACGCTGAGCAGTGAGAGCAGAAGGAGGGGAGTTGGTTTCCTGCCCAGAGGACCGGACCTGGGGCAGCCATTCCTCCTGGGAGGCGGGAGCGAGGGTGGGCGAGCGTGTGAACAGGCGGCGACGCCGGGTTTGTCTCTAGGACGTGCTCCGCTGC